GACTTGAATACAAAATTCTTTCATCTCATGGTAAGCTGGAGGAGAAAGAAAAATGCCTTGAAAGGACTATTCATTGATGGTTCTTGGTCAGAGGATCCTACAGTAGTTAAGGGACATGTTAGAGATTTCTTTTATCAGAGGCTTCAAGAGCAGTGCCAAAATAGACCAAGACTGGATGGTACACATTTTAGATCACTTTCCCAAGATCAGAATGAATTACTCATTGCTCCATTTTCTGAAGAGGAGATTCGATCTGCAGTGTGGGAGTGTGGTAGTAATAAATGTCCGGGTCCTGATGGTGTGAATTTCAAATTCTTAAAGGAATTTTGGGAAACTTTAAGAGGGGATATATGTCGCTTTCTTACAGAATTTCATCACAATGGGAGACTGCCTAGGGGCACGAATTCTGCCTTCATCACTCTAATACCAAAGAAACAGGATCCACAAAGGCTTGAGGACTACATACCCATCTCCTTGGTTGGGTGTATGTACAAGATTTTAGCCAAAGTTCTTGCCAATAGAGTTAAGCGAGTTCTGCCGACCGTTATTGATGAGCGACAAAGCGCCTTCCTTGAAGGTAGGAATATGTTACATAGTGTGCTGGTTGTTAGTGAGGTTATTGATGAGGCTAAGAGGATGAAAAAACCTATCATATTCTTTAAGGTTGATTTTGAGAAGGCGTATGACTCTGTGTCATGGGAGTACCTACTATACATGCTTGAGCGCTTGGGTTTTAATCCTAAATGGATTGGATGGATCAGGGAGTGTCTCAATACAGCTCGTCTATCAGTGCTAGTTAACAGTAGTCCCACTGACGAATTCCCAATGGGAAGGGGGCTAAGACAAGGTGATCCCTTGGCCCCCTTCCTCTTCACAATTGTAGCAGAGGGGTTATCAGGATTGATGAGGGAAGTAGTGAAGCATAAGAGATTCAATAGTGTGAAGGTCGGACATAATCAAGTTGAAGTTAGTTTGGTTCAATATGCAGATGATACAATGTTCTTTGGAGAAGCTTCTTTGCAAAACGTATTTATGATAAAAAGTCTAATCAGATGCTTTGAGGTGGTCTCAGGGTTAATCAAGAGTAAATTTGGTTCCATTTGTGTGGATCAGGCCCTAGTGGAGGATTTTGCACATCTGTTAAATTGTACACTTCTATCTCTACCTTTTCCCTATTTAGGCCTCCCCATCGGGGCAAATCCTAGGACTGTGGTCACCTAGAGGCCAATTATCTCAAAAGTTCAGAAGAAACTTGCGATGTGGAAGCATAAAGTTCTTTCTATGGCAGGTAGGGTGTGTCTGGTGAATTATGTGCTAACTTCCCTCCCTCTTTATTATTTATCTTTCTTCAAAATCCCAAATCGGGTGGCTAAGGAGATAGTTTTCCTACAAAGGCGCTTTTTGTGGGGTGGAGTCGGGGATCAGAAGAAGGTTTGTTGGATTAGTTGGGATAAGGTGACCCTACCAAAGGAAAAAGGGGGATTGGGAGTCAAAAATATCATACTCTTCAATAGATCGCTACTAGCTAAGTGGAGATGGAATCTCTTCCACCAATCCAGCTCTATGTGGGCTCAGGTTCTACAATCAAGGTACAGAGGTGGGCACAATCTGTGTGCTCAAGCCTCCTCTCAGAAGGATTCTATATGGTGGAGGGATCTTTTAATGGTGTGTGGTGGAGTTGAGGAGGATAATTGGTTTGATAAGTTGATTGAGTGGAGAGTTGGAGTGGGGTCTAAAGTTAGATTTTGGCTAGATAAGTGGGTGGGGCCTACTAATCTTGCAGTTGCATTCCCTAGATTGTTCATTAGCTCTGATCAGCAACTTGCTTCTATTGCAGAGATTGGGGCATTTGTGAACGGAGAATGGGTGTGGCACCTCAGGTGGAGGAGAAATAGATTTGAGTGGGAAATTCCTTTAGAACAACAACTTTTGCGCCTAATTAATAGTCGCATCTTCAATTCCTCCCAATGCGACTCTTGGAGTTGGGTGGCAGAGTCCTCAGGGATGTTTTCTGTTAAGTCGGCTTATCAGATCATATTAGCTGAGTCAGTCACTATTGAAGATCACGATATCTTCAAGTTAATATGGTCTATCCCTGCCCCTCCTAAAGTTCTCTTCTTTGCTTGGAGGCTTCTGAATCGAGGACTCCCAACTGTGGATAATTTGGCACGCAGGAATATATTACTTGGCGAGCATGAATCTAGATGTATCTTTTGCAAGGTAGATATTGAAACCACAACACACATCTTCTGTACATGTCCGATGGTTGATAGAGTTTGGAAACAGTGCCTCTCCTGGTTAAATTGTCCTGCACCTCTCCCTAGGCAGATTTTCGACCACTTTTCTTTCCTCCCAGCACCAATTAAAACCGAGTCACAGGCAAAAACCTGGCATACTGTGTGGCTGGCTACAATGTGGACCTTATGGAGGTACAGGGATAAGTGGATTTTTGACAGCGGAACATTTGAGCAAGGTAGTATAGTTAGAGACATTCTCATTTTTTGTTGGAGGTGGCTATCCACCCTCAAACCTTCCTTTGCCTATTCTTTCTCTCAATGGAGTAGCAATCATGGGCCATGTATTTGTCTCAACGGGTGTGGATAGGGTAGCAGTTTCGGATTATGAGGAGATACAAATGTATTAAGTATTTCTCTATAATCCTGACTTTATACTTTGTATATGGGTTCGGGTATCTCTTGTACCTGTTATATATTAATTTTGCTGTTTTCAAAAAAATATGCATGTGTATACGTGTATGAAGAAGAACAATTTTTGCTGACAATTGAACATGCATGTCTTTCAACAACCTTATTCTAATAAAAACCCCATCTAAAGCTCAAAAATAATATTTCTTTTCTGAGTTTCGTTGAGCCTGCCGCAGCCTAGAGAGAGAAGAGTGTTCATTTCTTTCTTAATTACCTTTTTTCCTGTTAATTAATGTTTTTATGAACGAAACCAAGCCATCAATACGAGGTTGAATAAGTCATTATAACACTTACTTCTATATTCGCATCTTAAAAGAATTGTTAGTTCTTATATTTACATCCTTATAAAGTATTATAATTTGGTATTAATGATGTTTATATATGGTTGCATATATAGATAGTTATATTTGAATTCGTTGTTTAATAAGGATGTCAAAATAGACCGTCTGATGGTTTGAACCATATAATTAGACTGATATTTATATGTAACAAAATAGAATATAGATAGGACTAATAAAATATACGTTCAAAATCATTTTTCCTAAAAGAACAAACACAAATTATTAGCTTGACACGGACTTATAGCTTGTGGTATATTTGGTTCTTTATTTTTATCATTAAGGTTGGTGTTATGAAAATTTAATATAATATACTCAGTTTTTATATTCTAACTCTTCATGATTACTATAATTCCCATCAATAAAATAAAAGGTCAAAACGTCTTGCTAACATAAAATTTGAAAATTAATTAGGAAAAAAAGAAATTTCATTTTCTGATAGTTTGATATTTTATTATTTAATATATCAAAAAAATTTCCTAACTTAAGTTATTTATTTATTTATTTTATTATTATTATCATTATGATAATCGTCGTTATTATTATTTGATATCAATTATTTTGGCAGAGATTAATTTTCTTCATGATGAATTTGAAGTTTAACAATACAAAAATCGTATATTGTTATTTAAACTATTTTTTATTATTTATATCATATTCAATTTTTATTCTAATATATATTTATTGTTTTGAAAAGTAAATTATTAATTAACTATATATTATTAGTGAAAAAAATATATAGATGATAAATTTTGTAATATATCATAGTCAAGTACTATTATATGTATGTGTGTATTAGAATCACTGCACTTCACGTTCAATACAATTGGACTTGGTAAGTGAATAAATAGTGGGTGACCCATTTTTAATGATTTATGATAGGTGACGTGGATAAATGGTGGGTGACAACTTGAATTTTTTTCAATACACCTCATTTCACGTCAGCACTATTGGGGTAAATAAATGGTGGGTGACCCTTTTTAATGATCTAGAATAGCTCTAATATCATCTTGAAATAATAAATTCAAGTCTAACTCAATTCTATAAAACCGACTTGTAAGGTGAGAATTATTTTTCACGTATATATTCTTTGATTATCTTATATTTAATTAATGTGAGATTTGAATTTTTTCAACAGAATCATTGGGTTTATGTTTTTTGTGTTTGTTGAGTTTTCACCATATCTATTATTATAAGAGTTAATCATTTATACACTACTAGTGTAATTTTTTTTTACACTGACAACTAATTATATCTTTTAATTGTGTCATGTCACTGTCAAAAGTAAATGTGTTTATAAGGACATGACACAATTAAAAAATATAATTAATTTTCAGTGTAAATTTTTTTTTATACTAACAGTATATAGGTGATTAACTCTTGTTATAACTTGTGAATGCATAACATTTTTCATTTGTTAGAGAAGGGTGGGGTGAGAGGCCCATCATTACTTGCTAGTCCCAAACCCAAAAGTCACGTGAAATGCACGTGGAACATGTGATTTCAATTCTCTAAATTAACATTTCAGACTTATTTATTTGGTTTAATTCCGGAAATTTGATAATATACATTTCTTTTCTAAATAACTCAACTATACGATTTTTTGTATTCTCTTTTAAATTATGATTTCAAATAAATTATTGATCTAATGATTGAGATTGGAGTACATATTCGTAGATTGGAATTTCATTGCCATAAATGTAATTCATGTCAAATTTTATTAATTAACTATATTTACCATAAATTAATAAGTTAAGTAGCACCAATTAATTGATCTAAGACCATCATTCATAATAAACCATGATTTGTATGGACGATGTTTAGATATTCGTAGCTGCCAATTATAATAGTAACATGTTCCGAGTCTCATTTTAGGCATCAAGCCCAGCTAATGATAGAAGAAAAAAAAATCTGAAAATTATGCCCTTATCCCCTTTTATATATATTTCAAGGAATATAATTAATTAAAACATGTCATTTTTTATGCATGGGATTCCATCTAAAATTCGTGACAAAACATATCACCCCCAGAATTTCATCAAAAGGAGTGTACGCAAAAATTCATTGGAGAAATCCAAACTACGCAAACAAACAAACAACTATAGTCCAAGAAATTAAAATCATGGTGTAACCTTATGGGCATCACGTTACACCATTACACAACCATTCAACTCACTCCACCATTGTTCAACAGGAGCATCATTTGCATGAAAACCCATTTCAAACACCTGCACTTGGCTCCTATTTTTGGCCAACTTGTTCAACAAATCAGCCAAGTTCTTCTTCTTCTTTGACTCTCGAGTCTCTGAAGTCGGTGAAAATAACGAAAAAGACTCCGATACATTTTTTTTTGAAGTCTTTATTTTTTTCACTGGCTTCAGAGACATATGAGAGTCAATAAGATGAGGAAAATTCAACTTTGCTTTGCTACCACGCATCTTAAAAGCAGCTATATCATAAGCTAAACCTGCTTCTTCTTCAGTCTCATAAGTCCCAAGCCAAACCCTAGCACCGTTCTTCTTTGGATCTCTTATCTCTGCGGCGAACTTTCCCCAAGGCCTACGCCTCACACCCCGGTAGCGCTTCCAAACCGGTGGCGCGTGAACTTCACGCGCTGCCCTAGAGTCTTCCTTTAAGGTAGGGCTTGGGGATGAATTGTAGGGTTGAGAGTAACACATTTCGTTGTTGGAAACATTCTCGAGAGGGTTGGAATCATCATGTTCATGGGCAAGAAGAAAGTGTTGAATAGATTCCAAAGAAGAGAAATCATCACACGACATTGTAGTGGCTATGTTTTGAATAGTGATGGTGGTGGTGTTTACTCGAAGCACATGAGATTGTGTTCAAATGAAGAATAATGCGGTGTGTATTTATACCATGGCTTTTGGAGTTGTTCATGTTTTTTTTAATGTATTCCTTGAAAGTTGAAAATGGGTTTGAACAACGTGGGTGATCTTTCTTTAAATTAATGTTGTTTTCATGAGGGATGTTTCTTTGAAGGTTCAACGAGGGTTTGAAACGGCATTGAAACTTGAAGTGGCAGTGTTCTTCCCACGTGTGATTGATTAGTTGATCGAGTATATAATTGTTTATTTATTTTAGCTTTTCATCAAATAAAAAAATCTCAAAAACCTTTAACACGAATATTTTGATAGTGTCACGATATTATAAAAATTAAACCAATTTCCTTACGGAAGAGTTGAATATGGTAAAAATGAATAATCTCCTATAAAAAGAGACGTCAATATATATTTAATATATAACCTAATGTATTTCATGTATAATTATATTATATATATATAAGGTTTATTTTAAAAGTAAATTTACCTAAACTTAATCTATTCAATATTTTATATTTTATATTAAATTTTAATAATTTAATAATTGAATTTAAAGTTTTTAATATATATTAAATTTATAAATTTTTAAAAATTTAAAAATTATTTAATACTTTTTCATTAATTCAAATTGATGAATAATCATAAAACTATTTTATACGTTAATATGAATTAATAAAATGAAATATCAAATGATCTTTAAATATTTTAAAAATTTGCAAACTTAGTCTATGCATTAAAAACTTTAAATTTAACGGTTGGATCGTTAAAATTTGATATATAATATGAGTTATTAATTGAATTAAGTTTAGATAAACTTACTTCTAAAATAGACAAATCCCTCCTCACTCATATATATATATATAGAGAGAGAGAGAGAGAAAGAGAGAGGAATAATAGGAAATTTACCAAAAGAAAAGCACCTTCCATAAATGTCATTTGTAGTAGGTATTATTCATAAATAACACACACAAGTGCTAATTATTATCAAAATAAATAAATAAAAATAGACAAGTGCAATTTTATGTCGTTATAAGAAAATTGTTATATAGTAACACACATCTTATAATGTTACAATACATATATATCACTCAAAATTATTTTTACTCATATGATAGATATAATATATGTTGATATATTATTAAAAAATATAGGTATAAACTATAGTTAACACACAAAATAAGTTGTTAAATTTTATTCAAGATTAACACTAAAATTATGTATATATATATATAATGACACTTTTTTTATGCCATTGTTTGTAACATTTTTTGTATGTTTAAATTAATTTATATTAAATTTTAATTAATATATTTTTATATTTAATTAATACATTGATAATTAATATATTTAATTAAGATTTTTCTTCTAAAAAATACTTTTAAAATTAATTAATTCAAATTGTACAGGTTAGGCCATTCGACCATACCCTTCGGCTATTTGGCCTTCCCCTTTGGTCATACCAAAATGTACGGGTTAGGCCATTCGACCATACCCCTCAGCCATTCGATCACACCCATTCCACACCATTGAAAATAAGACCCCAATTGACACCTTTGGCATCGGATAGAAAAGGTCTGCTTGACCATGTCTTCCATCCTGAGAATCCCTTACATCATTCGGCACGATCGACAATCGAATGGGTCCATACTAGTCAACATACCTCGGCACCTTCGACATCCGATAGAAAAGGCCTGCTTGATCATGTCTTCCATCTTGAGAATCCCTATACCATTCGGCACGATTGGCAACCAAATGGCTCCATATCATGTTGAAGATTGAAGAATCTACATCTGGAAGATGTTCCCTAGAAGTTTTAGTTTTGATGTTTTGCTCATGTTGCTTTTTATTTTAAGCCTATGTCAAAAGGATAATGTATTGATTGTTTAAAAGATTAGGCTTGTATGTGTTTGTTTGTTATGTGTTAAAAATTAGTAATTAACATGAAGGTGAAAATATCATAATACTCATTTTTCTTATTTCATTCATTGTTGAGAACATGAAGTATTAATTTACTGAGTGTTTGAGACTTTAAATGAAAACTTGAAAACATCAGAAATTTTCTGAGTTAAGGAATAGATTACCTGAACTGGTAATAGATTACCTGACTCATGTTGAAAAACTGATTGATACTGGAATAATCGATTACCATGTGTGGTAATAGATTACCAAACTGATTCTGATGATTTCAAGAGGAAAAAGGATCGTGTTAATCGATTACCTCTTTAAAGTAATCGATTACCTCTGTTCCAAATGTGAGTTTTGTGTTATTTTGGCATCGTGTTAATCGATTACCATGTTAGGTAATAGATTAAAACAGGAGCTGAAACAATTAGTTCAGTTATTCTAACTCGTGGTAATAGATTACCATCACAGGTAATAGATTATCTCTGTTATGAATATAACTGAAATAACTGTTTCCTTGCACATGAAAATTGTCTTTAAATAAGATTAAAACTGAAGCTTTTAAAAGAGAATTTTCACACACGGAAAAAAGAGAAATACTTACACGAACAAGAGAGAATTTTTTTTAGAATACACATTACTGCAAAAGAGAAAAAGATTTTCTGAAAAAGAAAGAAAGAACATATCTGCTGAAAATCAACTTTTGGAAAAAGAAGTGTGCAAGATCAATTCAAGAAGATGAAGTTCATATAGAAAATTCATTCTAAACTGGTTTACGTTGTTGAAGATCATATCTACACGAACAGGTGTACTCGTTTCTGATCTTTTGTTATTGTTTGAATGGTTTTAACTCTTGAGATTAGAGAATCTCTGGAAGAGTTGTGTAAAGAGAAATCTTGAGATAGGTTTTTCTCAAGTAGGATATTGTGGGATCAATATTCTTGGGTTATATGTTTCTTGTGGAGTCAAGAAATGGTTTGTTAATCTTGTGGGTGTCAAGATTTGCTTGTTAAATTCATTGATTGGATATTGCTTGTGCAGGGTGCATGTAAAGAATATCAATAGTGGATTTGACTGGATTTAGAGGTGTATCTAAATCTGAAACTGGATGTAGGCCTTTGGATGGCTGAACCAGTATATATCTTGGTGCATGATTTTCTTAACTCTTACACTCTTTACATTCTGTATAAGTTTCTTGATTAATGTTGTATGAAGAAAAACATTATCTGCAGAAACTGAACTTTAAAGATTCTTGGTAATTGATAAATTCAATCTTTACATATCTTGTATTAATTGTGTTATTCAAATCTTGTTGGATAAGCTGTGCATATATAACTCTGAATTACTTTTTATGTTTAAAGGTTTGTTTTAAATCAAGATTTGTTTGGTAAAGATTTAGAAAGCAAAGAAGAAAAGGAAAAATAACATAGAATCTATTCAACCCCCCCTTCTAGATTCTAACCGTAGGGACCAACAATTGGTACCAGAGCTGTATCTTGTAAAACATTCAAGACTAGATCTTTAGAAAGGTTAGATGGCTGGTAATCAATTACCGTTTGCTGAAGGTGCTTCTATAAACAGACCCCCATTGTTTTGTGGAGATAACTATCCCTTTTGGAAAGTTAGAATGAAAATTTTCATGGAATCTGTTCATAGAAATATTTGGCAGGCTGTAATCACAGATTACAAAATACCCACTAAGATAGAGGGAGGAAAAGAAATTGAGAAACCATATGATAGCTGGGATCAAAGTGAAATTAGAAGAGCAGAGAATGATGCAAAAGCTTTAAATATCATACATTCTGCACTAAATTCTGATGAATTTTTTAGAATTTCAGCTTGTTCTACAGCAAAGGAAGCTTGGGATTTAATCCAAGTAACACATGAAGGAACTCCAGAAGTGAGAAGAGCTAGAAAGAACACACTCATTCAGGAATATGAAACCTTCAGAATGAATCAAGGTGAAACTGTCATGGATATGCAAAAGAGGTTCATTCACATAATAAATCACCTAAAAGGATTAGGGAAAGACTTCGTGGAAGAAGAAGTAAATGTCAAAATCCTGAAGTCACTAAACAGAAGATGGCAACCAACTGTCACAGCAATTACAGAGTCAAAGAACTTAGCTCAGATGACAAGTGCTGAGTTATTTGGAAAGCTAAGAGAATATGAGATGGATCTGTCAAGGATTGCTGATGAAGAACAAAAAGATAAAAAGGCAAAAGGTCTGGCCTTAAAGGTAAAAGAATCCTCAAGTGATGAAGAGGATAGCAGCAATGAAAGTTCTGAACAAGAAGAATTAAATCTAATGGTGAAGAATTTCAGAAAATTCATGAGAAGGAAGAACAACAATAAGAGATTCTCCAGTCAGAAGAAATCCTTCAAGAAGAATGAAAACTCATCTCCAAAGTTCAAATGTTTTGAATGTGGAAAAGCTGGACACATGAGAGCTGACTGTCCAAGCCTGAAAAAGAATGAGGAGACGAAACAAAAGTTCAGATCAAAGAAAAAGAAAGCATACATAGCATGGGAAGAGAATGCCTCAACAACTTCAAGTGATAGTGATGAGGATCAGGAAGCAAATCTCTGTCTCATGACCAAACATAATTCAGATTATGAGGTATATGATTCTGACTCATCTATTGACTCGTATGATGAATTGCAAAATGCATTTGCTGAACTGTATGCTGAAGCAAAGAAATTAGAAAAATCAAATAATGTTTACAAAAAGAAAATGACACACATGAGAGATAAAATTTCTGATTTAGAGAATGATAACAGGAAACTACTTTCAGATATCTCTAAACTAAAGTCACCATGTGAGAACTGTGAAACATTGTATGCTGCATTAAAAGCAAAGGATAAAGAAAAACAGAATGTTAATGTTATGAAATCCATTAATTCCCACTCATGTAACTATTGTATGAAATCTGGTCATAACTACTACAGATGCATGATAAGGAAATTTGGCATTCCTAGTGGAAAATATAAATGGATTAAGAAATTAGATTATGTACTCACTGATTCTCCAGGACCCAAGATCCATTGGGTACCAAAATCAAATTGAATAACTTGTGTTGCAGGTGTGCTTGAGAGCAAAGCAATCAATGTGGTACTTAGACAGCGGCTGCTCAAGACACATGACAGGAGATAAAAGCAAATTTATCTCATTACAGGAAAAAGAAGGAGGATCTGTAACATATGGAGATAACAACAAAGGCAGAATACTAGGCTCAGGCAGTGTTGGTAACAATTCCAATA